AAGATCAAAGCCTGAACAGAGCTACGTACTGAGGAGTCTCGAAGGCAGCTGTACACTGCTCCTGGGGCAGCTGCAGCAAGCAAAGACCTCAGAGCTGTTGAGGTTACTCCGAGAGCAATGAAACGAAGTTGTGGCATCGGCCTTATTGGCATGCTGCTGCAGACACCTCAGGCCATAGTCATAGTCGTGCGACTTATCGACAAAGCGAAATTCCGAAGTTATTTTTGCGAGAAATAGGGATGCGCCCCTGAGAACACTGAGGACGTCATCTCGTTGCTGAACTTGGGCGATTGTGGAATAATGGCATTAAGGCGGCGGCTGCTTGTTGTGCCGGCAGCAGCATCCGAGTATTGCCAAATCGATTTAGCAATGCTGCCGAAGCAGAGGATGGCAGCCCGCAGCCGAAGCACAGACTGCTTGCGCGCAGGCCTTGTTCCATCCTGCCCAGATTTCACGGTGGCACCGTGAAAACGAGTATGCGCCTGATATACAGGCTGGATCGTCAAGACTTCGGCCATGTTTCAGAGACAGATCTAGTTGAGTACTCGTAGGTCTTGTTTGCGCGCCTGTAGTCTTACCAAGAAATTCCAGAAAGTTCGAGCAATGCCTGGAATGTCCGCTCATTCGATGCTGTCGGCGTTTGTCGGTCCATGCTGGAGTGGAGGTCGACACCAATGCTCCATCGCACAAACATGCCCCTGCAGCTGAGCGCGCAGGAGAACGGTTTTATCTGTCCAGTACATAGCTTCGTTACAGCAGCGACACGGGCCGCTGACACCCGAGGATCCGGATGTTTCCAGCCTCACTGACTACTTCGACCTGGTCACGTGCGCAACAGCCTTCCTCGGTCAGATGCACTTTCTGAGTGGTCCGTGAAGAGAATGGAACTCAATTAGACCCTCTGTGCGTGTGGGTGCGTCCATAGTTTGACGCCGCACAGCGTTCGTTCTTCATGACTTCAGCTTCGGCCATCTGCACGTAATCTCTGTCGCCGCAGCATCTTGCAGCCGAGCAGCCTCTTGGACGAATCCGGAGGCCAAAATGTCCGAAAAAGGCCGCGGGCTCAGCTTCAACATTCGGCACTGGGAGGCCGAACGGCAAGTTCTCTGCGCATTCGGACGGGAACCTGAGGCCATTCGAAGCAAGTTTACAGCGACCCACCCAAAATCGCCGAAACCTCAGAGAAAAACTTTTTCTAAGTCTATCAGAGCTTATTTTAACCGGAGAAGAGCGGAGGTAGTCGCATTCCCCACACTGTCTCGCAACTCAGGACTTGGTGTGGCTGCCGTGCCGGGCTCCTCCGCAGGTGCATCAGATCTGCTGGTATTAGATATGATCTAGCCCGATGCTCCCGACAGGCAGGCCTCACTTCCGAGTCCGCTTCCTTGGATCTGCCGAAGCTTGGCAGCAGCGTAGAAGCAGTGCGACCGGCTGAACTTCTCAACGTCACAAGTCTCGGGCAGTCCTGGTCAACGCAGTCGTTCCACGGAGGCTGAACGATGGTGCGACGCCCCAAAGACGGAAGTGTCGGGCCTAGGCTTGCGTTGAGGCAGTGGGTTCGGATCCTGGGGACTGCAGATCCATTCACATCCGAAAACCGAGCGCGGACGGATTCAGCATGATCCACCGAGCTCTGATCGCATAGCGTGGCAGATCCAGCAGCTTTTTGGGAGCACGTGCGCAGCGCTCCAAGGGCCAGCTCCCTCCATGGGCTCAGCAACGCCGCTGAAGAGAGCCTCCTGAAGGCTCAGCAGCAGCTCCCCGGCCGAGAGTACTCTGGAACTTCTATTTCTACTCTATCTATAAACACCACAAGCACAGCCACGCTGCCTCGACTTTCACGAGCACCAGTGCCAGCGCCACAGCCACGAAGCTCCGTCCTAACAATCGTGGCATATATGCCACCCGCTAGCTAGCGACCTCACGACAGGAATTGGCAATGCGAATCTGCACAATGTCTTGCTATGCGACGACGACGACGACGACGACGACTGCTGCTACTACTCC